AAAGGAGCAAGATTTTGTCTTTTCTAGGCTTGTAAGATATTACACTGAATGGAGTCTTTTTAGAGGTGATTTTTATTTAGTGTTACTTTTTTATTATCAGCAAGGTATTAATGGTTATGCAAGCAATAAATAATGTCAGAGCTAAGTGCAGAAGAGTAGATGAGCTTACCACAATAATTTGGAGAGGTCTATAGCATAATAATAAATACATATGTATATTAAACTATATCAGCATGAGAAAACAGTGATTTAAGAAACCAATTTCAGGAGCTTTGTAGGGACCAAAATGAAAATTATTTCCTTGAAAACATAAGCATGTTTTGTGTTAGCATATTATGACCTTCTTTATGATCAATAAGTTACTCAAACTAGTTTTATCATTCCTTCCTCCCATAACATCTGAGTGAAGGGTTTGTTTTTTATAATATCTAATAAATTGGTTATCACACCCAGTATAAAATTTTAGATTTAAAAGTTACATAAAAGTCCTATTATTAATAAAAAGTATTTCTAAAAGTTCACCCTGAACAGCTTCCTATTTGAATCTCACAATCCCTACCTTAGAAAGGAAGTCAGGGAACCATAGAGATAGCTGCATGCCCATGTTTGTCCTGGCACTAATCATAGCAGCCAGGCTACAGGGCAGGCCAAGTGCCATCTGTCGATGGATAAAGAAAGTGTATTGTGCATGTGGAGTATTATTTAACCATAAAGAAGAACAAAATCATTTATTTTCTGGGAAGATGGCTAAAATGGAGGTGATTGTGTTAGACCAAATGAGGCAGGCTTAGAAAGACAGGCATCATATGTTTTCTATCGTAAGTGGAATCTGTGGGGAAGAAGATAATGTGGAAGTAGAAGGGAAGAGGAAGTGGATGGAGGAATAGGAGTAAAGGGAGTGAACATAATCCAAATGCATCACACATCTGCACTATCACCGTGAAGCGCGTTACTTTGTATCATGTGTCCACTAACAGCTGTACATTCACAGCTGTAACAAAACCTGTCTTACAGACCATCCTGTTTCTATCTTTTACTTATAGTTAAACTTGGCTATTTCAGGAATGTGTGGTTTAAGTCTAATAGGTGGCAGGTTTGGTGGGAGGCCAAGGATCCAGTCTCACTCAGTCAGGTGGTGTGGACAGTGTTGAAGTGGTTGATTCTAGACTCTTGGCTCACTGTTGATGGCCCGTATTATAATCAGAGTAACACTTGCAGTCAAGAAGGAGGTAACGTTTGCAGCCAGCAGAGTAAAGCAACACTACAGGATGGGGCTTTCCAAGCAACTCCACATAGTGTTCTCTAAGGTCACAGGGTAGTTGAGAATTTTATATCTATCTGTAGGTTTAGGAACTATATCTGATATGGCTTTGTTCCATCTAAATATAAAAGTTATAATAAAGTGATTTCTATCAAACAGACACTCACCAGTAAAGGAGTAAAATACAGTGAGCACATGCTTGTTAAGGTAATGACAAGGAATTTAGGAACAAGAAATGGCACACTTATGCCAAGTGCAGTCTAATAATATGGTTATTCATGTGTGTATGTGATCTGTTTCTGTAGACAGTCCACCATGCTTCCCCACTTCTGGCTTGTTATGCTATGGTTAAATAAAATTATTTAGATAACTTGAGCTGTATGGGTGAGCTATTCTCTAATTCTGGTTGATACGGGGCAAGAGGTGATATTCAGAAAAACCAGATTTGTGTGAGCTTTTAGTTTTGGGAAATCAGATCTTTAAATGAAATAAAAACAGTGACATTAAGTGGAATGAACTTGGTACATACTGAAGGTAGAAACTGGTAACCTTGAGTAGAATTTGCGCCCTTTTCATACGTTTAAGTAAGTACTAGTTGATGAGACCACTTCTTGAGTCTGTTCTCTGTCAAGAACGGAAACTTCTGTACTGGAGGCTGCCCACTTAGACTTAGCACTTAGTCCTTTTTTTTTTTATTATTATTTTTTGTTTTTGTGTAGTTTTTCAAGACAGGGTTTCTCTGTGTAGTCCTGGCTGTCCTGGAACTCACTCTGTAGACCAGGATGGCCTCAAACTCACAGAAATCTGCCTGCCTCTGCCTCCTGAGTGCTGGGATTAAAAGCATGCGCCACCACCGCCCGGCCTCTCTTGCTTATTTTACTGAGCTCATTTTTGACCAGAGTACAAGTTGCAGGAGATAACAGCGTGAATGGCCCCCCTTTCCACCTTTCTGTTTGCACTGACTTGGGGGGCTGTATGATACAGTGGCAGAACACATCCTGAGCATGGGCAAGGCTACATCCCTGCGTTCAATCCCCAGCACCACAAACCAAACCAAACATGGCTTCAGTCACCAAAATGGTTGCTTGGCTTACCACCAGGGAGGCCCAGAATCCTTTGACATGAGGGCAGATAGTGACAGGTTCATTGACAAATTACATCAAGGCTGCAGCCTTTTCTGGATCTTAGTGGTTGGTGACTAGAAGTGGTTTAATCAGCCTTTGGGGTGTCATATACCAGGGGCCAGCTGTGGGTGTTGCTGGGCCTTCCAGTTGTGCAGATGATAATCTGGGCAGGGAAGCATTTCTCTCCTGGGCGACAAGGGCATGGAAGATGATGATGTAAGCGGAATGCCCCGAGTCTCTTCAAGAATTTGAAGTGACTGCAATTAAACTTTTGAGTCGACAGCAAAAAGTACTTTTCCCACTTGAGGTCTTCAGAAGACGAATAGGAAACATCTTTCTCTGTACCATCTTTTGGGCAGTCACTGAGAATAATCATTGATAGCCATTATGCTTTGTTTTATGACTGCACCAGCCATTGAGATCAGTATTGCAGCTACTGTATTGTGTTTCTTCTTCATACTGCTGTAGCCCTGTGTGCCCTTTTACAATGACCTCTTTTCTGGCAGGCATCTTCTTTCACCCATTTGTGTCTCTTCTACAGGAGTTTTGTTTGCTTGTTGTCTGATAGCACTGAGGGTGGGACCCAGGCTTGCTCACCTACTGAGCCAGTAGAGCCTGAGTTGGGCGTGTTAGTCCAGGTTTCTTTCATCCCAGTATCATTGCACGTGCACATGCTGCTGTTACACGTAGTAGCTTGAATGCACAGTGAGTTCATTTGTCTTGGTTACTTTTCTGGTGAGTTCTGATAGTGAACAGTGAGCATAGCTTGTTTTCATCTACCTTGGCAGGTAGCAGCTTGTTCTAAGTCAGGTTTGGCCAATGGCGGGATGGTTCTTGTTAGGGCAGAAGTAAGAGTCACAGGTGGGGAGGGCTGTGTTCTAAGAAGGCGCCACGCTTGCTTCTGAAAAGGTGCTGAGCCTTGGCCATGGGAGGATAAGCTCATGGGAGCAATGGGGAGTCCAGCTGTGGAAGCCACAAACGTGCCTTCCAGCTGCAGCCTCGGCATGGGCTGACTGGTCACTGTCCAGCCCTGTGGCTTCAGAGTGTGCAGTCTTTTTACAGCTCCCATGGTAAAACCTTTGGGGTCTTTCGCCTTCAACCTTTGCCTGACTGAGCAACAATGGCGATGACCATGAGTTTCCCAGCTGAAGTAGCCACGACTTACAGATAGAGCTTAACGTGAATCATGGCAGTTATTTTTACGTTTTTATCCATTTATTTTGTGTATGTGACTGGAGCAGAGGTTGATGCCAGGTGTCTTCCTCAGTCACTCTCTATCTTATTTTTTGAGACAGGTCTCTCAGTGAGCCTGGCGTTCACTGATGCAGCAAGGCTGGCCAGCGGCTGCACTCCAGGGACTTTCCTGGCTTTCTTCCCCAGCACTGGTTATAAATGGGTGCTGGGGATCAGAACCTGGGTCCTTGTGCTTACAGAGCAAACGCTTTACCTACTGAGCCACCTCTCTCCCACCTCTGTCTCGGCTAATCCTTGAAACAGTCCTCAGGATTGTTTGATGTGGTAAACTGAGTCCCAGAGCCCTGTGGTTAACACTGCCTAGCTGAGTGAAAAAGACTGGCAGGCCTAGAATCAAGATTCCAAACCTCAGGTGCGGAACCCAAAAACCATGGCAGCCTAATGGAAATGATTTAGTTCTCCAACTTAAATAAAGACAGCACAAAAACCCAATGCCAGCTGTGGCCTGAGATGTGTGCTGGTTGGTTTTTAAACACATTCGATTTGGGGCATGCCCCTCCCCACCAAATAGGGAAAGGGAACTCGTGCTTGCTAACGGCCCCATTTACCGCTCTGTGACCTCTCACCCCACTTCTCTGCCAGGCCTATAGACATGTTTGTGTTTATAACTCTGGTCTAAAAGGTCAGCAACAGAGAGTTTATTCTCTCTTTGTGTGAGATGAGAAACAAATATTCCCAAACCCCTTTTCCCCCCAGGAGATTTTTTTCATTTTGCCCATATATATATTACAAAAAATATTGCTTGCTTTTAGTTTTAATTCATTTCCTTCTTTCTTGGCTATCCCTGTCAATATATAGAACAACTGCTCAGAAAACTATTGGTTTCCAAGAATACAGTTATTAAAGGCAGCCTTGTGTCTTGTCTGTAAGCCCTTTCTGTACCCAGTCCAGACTCTGACATCTCAAAGGCTGACAGGCAGTCAGATCCTCTGCCACATGGGAGTGTCATTACACAGTAAAATTCATACTGCCTCCCTGGCTTTATTTAGTGTCTTATAGCACACTCAGAAGAGCAAGGGAACCTGAGCTTGGCTTTTCCCATATGTGTGAATACCAGATGCTTACGCTGCTGGGGTGTATTTGACTGTCCTCAGTAAACAAGCTACTTCTCCTCCTCCTCCTCCTCTTCCTCCTCCTCTCCCCCCTCCTCCTCTTCCTCCTCCTCCTCCTTCTTCTTCCTCTTCGTTATAATTTTTGAAGTTCCTTATTTCTTATTTTCAAAGTTGATTTAGGAGTGCTTTTACTAAGTCCATGTGGAAGTCCTTATACCATTACTGTTTTTGTTTTTCCTGCCCCTTTAAAGAGGAGATGAAGAAAAGAAAGAATTTAAAATAACCACTGTCTGGATTTTTCTTTTTCAGATGCAAAAGAAATCGTTCTAAAAGCCCAGATCTTAGCAGGAGGAAGAGGAAAAGGAGTCTTCAATAGCGGTTTGAAAGGAGGTGTTCATTTAACAAAAGAGTAAGTCTGGAGGCTTGGGGCCCCATCCTGTCCATGACTGAAAGGGTTCCTGAGCAGGAGGGCGGGGGCAGGGTAGGGTCCAGTACAGAGAGGGGTAAGTGAAGGCATTGGCAGGGCTCTGGCTGTGCCCCAGGGCTTCCTTCTTCCATTAGAGGGCTTTGTAGCCCTCACAGAGGAAGACTGTACTTGCTCTCTCCCAGACAATCTGAGCTACATCCTAAGTTTGAAATAAAATCACTTGTAACTGAGATACCATTTCCATCATGTCATTTCCATAAAAATTGTTCAGTGGTTCCCTGTGACCAGTGGCGTCTTTGTGTGTGGCCTCTGATAGTCCATGCCCGCCTTTATCTGAGCATCTTCCTAGCATCCTGCCCCAGCTCCAACCCTTGACTCTCTTTCCATAACAGTCTCTTCATTGATTGTGGTCTTTGTTTTCTCTCATGGTTTACTGTTTCCCAGATCACCCACTATCAGTGTTCCATTCACCTTCTACCTAAATCTGTTACACATCTAGTATTGTTTCTTTACACATATGTTTTGGGGGGAAGGTAGCAGAGTTCAGCATCCCTTCACTCATTCCTTTATTTATATTTGGCTCTCAGAGCCTTTGTGACAGCACTAGACACACAGAATGTAATGGAAAGACATGCATTCTGTGGATAATGTGAATGTGAAGATGTCAGCTAGAGGTGGACCCTGGGCAGTGTGGCTATAAGGAGGTCGGGAGGCCGAGGTAGTCTTGGGCAATGTGAATGTGTGTGGAGGTAGGGTGGTGGAAGTAACCCTCGGTTGTGTAGAGGTGAGGAGGTGGGCTCGTGGAGGTAACCCTGGAGACTGTGGACCCTGGTGTATAGTGATTTGCAATATAGCCTGATTGTCTTTCTTTGTCATTCTCTCCTTCCTGTCTTTCTTAGCCCTAAAGTGGTGGGACAGCTGGCTCAACAGATGATTGGTTATAATCTAGCCACGAAGCAAACTCCAAAAGAAGGTGTGAAAGTGAACAAGGTAATAAGAATGCTCTTGGTCATTTTGTCTGTACTTAAAACAAAAGAACAGAGAGCTGGACTTGGCGCTGACAGATCTAATGAGCCACTGTTCTTTGGCAGTGTGCTGTTTTTGTTTAGGGAGTGCTGTGTCTTTGAAGAAAGACCCAAAGGGCTGTGGATATTGGCATTCACCAAAAGCCAGTGAGGTGAATGACCAAAGCAGCAGTTTTCCATGCAAAGCACAGATCCATTCTGCTTGAAGCTGACAAGGCTTGGCAGGGCAGCCTTGTACTCAGTAAGCCCTTCCTGTTCCCATGCAGCCGAACTTAGTCTTTTCTGTTAGAATTGCCTGGTGCAGTGGTTTTCCTTAAGAATACCTCATGCTATACTTTGATGCTACTACCATTTTAAGTCTCTAGCTGTGCTAGGAGTATAGTATTAGTGAAGACTGCTAGCAGCAAGTGTGTACAGCACATGCACCCATGTGCATGCATACACATGACAGACACATAGACATACCCACACAGAGAAAGTAAAGCTCAGACAAGAAAGGCCTGCCTCTGCTGTGCAGTTATGAATGAAGGAGCCAAGTCCAGAACCTGACTCTCTCCCTACTGCCCATTTTCAGCCTCCCCATCCCTCTTCACATGTAAAGCAGTGGAAGCTGCCTCTTGTGCATACCCCAGTGCAAAATGAAGAGGGGGCAGAGACCTATGTTCACAATGCAAGACCTGTGCTGCAGGAGGTGAATTCATGAGCAGAGCCCCTGGGTGTCACATGTGGCAATGGCTGGAAAGACCCATCCATCCTAACAGTAAATTGGGCCCCACTTTTTGGCTCTGCTCTGTTGCTATAGCATCAGAGACTCGTAGCCTGTATCATTCTGCTGTACTTGGGGTGGGGCACTGAGTGATACGTTGTATTTTTAGTTTCCATAGAACTTTAGAAAAATTCTTGGTACAGCTTTAGAAAGATGTCACTGGCTTATTCTTATTAAATCATGGTAGGGTTGATCCTGGTCAAAATAGGGGCACTGGAAAGCAGATGATCTCCTAAGGAGACATTTATGCCCTTCCCTGTGCCTCTCAGACCTCAAGAATTTGGGGTACCCTTACGAATGATGCTGGGAGAAGGGAAAGGCTGAAGCCAGGTGCTGGCCTGGCAAGGAGCTGGTCTCCCAGGAAGATTTCACATAGCCCACAAACCTGCTGGAGCACCCTGCAGGGACACTGGAAAAAGTGCCTGCACTTGGTATCCACTCACATCTCTTGCTCTAAACTCATGTCATGACCCAAAAAATGAGCTTGGGGGACGGGGATCACTAGATCTGTGTTCCTGTTCCCAATGTGACACATTGAATGAATATCCTCTGCTTTTCGCTAGTGTTTGTTAAGTGGCCTGTTAATTCTCATTGCAGAGCCAAGCTTGTTAAGAAAATTAGCGCCCAGGTCTCACATAAGGCAGTTCCAGTAACAGTAGGATGTTGGGATACTGATAGGTTATTAGCTTCATCTACTGAAACAACAAGTCATCTCAGACTTTAAGGAGCAAGGCCAGAAGCTGACTGTGGGTCTTCCCCCTTGCAGCCACCTCTCAGGTGGTGCAGGGACTGTCAGAACTCACGTAGATTTGTTCTTGTTTAGACTGCAACTCTACTTTATTTGCCTTTTAAATCTGATTGTGAGCCTTTACCTGCATAACTTGTTCAAAGTTTGTCCACAGAAAGCATAATTAGTACTTTTATTTGTAGGGGATTGTTTTATGCGGACACATGGGATTTTAGATTAGAGTGTGTTAAACTTGTAAAAAGCATATAAAAAACGTCTACTCGTCAGATTTGCACTATCTCATAATAGAATTCTACAGAAAATGGCTTGTAGCTGAGTTCCTGACATGCTGTAGATAAGCATGTTCTTGAGGATTGAGGCATCGCCAGAAAACTACCAGAGTAATTTATTTTTAAGTATTTTTATTCCATAGTTCAATAACATGTAAAATTTCCAGTAGAATAAAAGTCAAAAAGTAATAATTTTCCCCTCACCACCTGGAAAGAACTGTCACGTGTTGCTTCGCCCTTTTCTGATATCCATGGCATGTTGTCACGTTTCTATAACGAGATACAAATATTGGTGCTATCGTTCTGCTTCCTTTGTTTGGGGAGTATGTTTTTCTTTTGTAGCTCAGGCTAGCCTCAAACTTGCTGTGCAGCAGAAAATGACCTGTACTTCTGATCCTCCAGAGCATGCAGGGCAAGTGACTATGGAGTGCTAGACTGTTGCCCAAGTCAGGACATGTGACTCTGTCTCTTCTTTTTTGCTGAGAGCATAGTCTTCAGTCAGTGAGGGTGATTAGTGTTCACTGACACCTAATGACAGACAACTGTTTTGAGTGTTTTATAGATGACAAGGCAGTGGAGATGCAAGGGAAGGCTGTGTCACAACTGACTGTGGCTTTCATTTTCAAGACAGGCGTCTGGAGGGAGTCCAGAGATGGCCCCAGGATAGCCGTGAAGTTTCCTGCACATTTTCTCTCTTGTATTTAGTGATGTTCCAGGATTTCCTAGCCCACGACTCACTGTTTTTCTTTACTCTTTGTTTTTGTTTATTTTTTTGTTTTTTTTGAGACAGGGTGTCTCTGTGTAGCTTTGGCTGTCCTGGAACTTGCTCTATAGACCAAGCTGGGCTCGAACTCAGAGATCCACCTGCTTCTGCCTCTGCCCCCCAAGTGCTGGGATTAAAGGCATATGTCACCACTGCCCAGCTCTCTCATGTTGCTAGTAGCATGCTATGTGGGAGTGTTATTATTTAAATAAATTAATATATGGCTAAAGTCTTATCTAACAGGAAACATTGCATGCTAGTGTTTCTGTCCACAGACTGGTGTAAAAGATTACCATAACCTGGGTGAGTTGTACATAAGTGAAATTCATTTCTCACCATCTGGAGAATGGAAAGTCTAAATAAAGTCTCTGTCAGCTGTAGTGCATGGTGAGGAGAGGCTCAGATTTATGTTGTGTTCCTACATAGTTGGAAGGGTGAGGGAGCTCTGAGTTACCATTTAAAAGGGCACAAACCCCATCCCTGGGTGCTTCTCCCTCATGATCTGTTTACCTGTCAGAGGCCTCTCTCTAAATAGCATCTCTGTGGAGATGAGGTGATAATACATGAATGTTGAGGGGACACAAACTGTTCTAGAGTGTTGTAGAAAGGAAACCTTTGAAATGAGCTTTTATCCCCCATTTGTCATAATTTTTTGGAGATTCATGGAGACTTATCTTTTTCATTGCTAGATAGTATTCTAATATACATGTTCCACAATTTCTTAAGTCATCATTTATTGGTAGATACTTGGATTGTTTCAGGTTGGACTGATACAAATATATTAATAAACAGATTTTAGTGTAGAGAGAATCTTTATTTGGGGGATAGATTTTGAATTATGTGATTGTATGATCAGTTGATTTTCTTTTGTTTTATTTTAGAAACTGCCAAATATTTGGCAAATTGATGGCATTACATTGCCATCTGCAGCATACAGACAACTGGGGTCCTCCATATTCTGGCCAGCACTTGGTAGTGTCATTGCTTAAAACTTTAGCCATTTTTGTAAATGTGTAGTGCTATTTCATCCTGATTTTAAAATGCATATGCTGTGCTCCTACATGTTAGACACCTTCTCATTTGCCTGTTTGCCCTTTGTAGGCTCTCCTTGAAGGCCATGCTCATTGTCAGAGCACTAGGAGGGATGACTAGTCACAGTGCAGAGTCCAGCAGTCTCCTAAGGGGCTGGCATGGCGAGGATGGTGGGGTCAGCCTAGGCTTGTTGTATATGCCCTGTGTTAGCAGGTTCTGCTGCTGTCCTTCTCATACTCATCTTAGCAGAGCCTTTTGTGGAACAAAAATAGTTAGTTTTGATGGAATCCAAACTATCATGCTCATCTGTGGACTGGACTCCTGGTATACAGTCTAAGAACAAGGTTCTTGGTTAACTTCATAATGGTTTTTATTTTTATGTTTTGTGCGCTGGTTTTGGGTCAGTTTCTTTTGAAGACTAAGGCTGGTGGGTTTTGTTTTGCTTTTGTTTTTCCTTGTGGGTGTTCACTTGTACCTGTACCCTTTATTGTATTGCTTTTGTGCCTTTGTTAGAAATTAGCTGGCTGTGTTCCTATAGGTCACCTGCATCTGCTACTGAACTGCTGTAATGATGTAGTAAGTTCTTAGGTTGTGGGTACCGGATCTTCTCACTTTCTTCAGTACAGTTTATCCTGTTCTTGTTCCAAGCATACACTTCTCACAATAATCTTGTCTTAGTTGATAGACAAAAAAAATCTCCTGCTGAGCTTTCAATAGAAATTGTGTTAAACTGCTCTATTAGTTTGTGGAGAATCAGTGTTTGCTTTGTTAAACCTCAGTGTCCATAAGACAACACTCTCTTCTGAGCTCTGCCTTGATTCTGCTCTCACAGTTACATAGAGGCCTGGGATGTGGTTTGTCTTCTAGATTAGCACCTAATGTTTCCTCCTTCCTTTCACTAGCAGTTATTACTGGGATTGGACTTTTAATTTCATGTGTTCATTTAAGTTCACATGTCCAACATGTTGTTGCTGATGGTATTACTTCTGCTGATGTTTGGTATATGTCTGCAGAGAAAACTTGTAGCCCAGGGGCTCTTGTGCCTGTGCGCCATCCTGGGTTAGCAGTTCTTCCAGCATCTGACTTACAAGGTGGAACTCAGCACCGTGTGCTTTCTTAGACAGGCTTCCTAGCCATGCTGCTTTCTTCCTTGTAATCTTCCATTTCTTCCTGTTTTCTCCTATGTAAATTTTTATCTGACTGCAGTGGAGGAGTCAGCAAGAAGTATCAACTCCACATTCTCAAGCTGAAGCTACAGACTTATAAAACCTCCAATCTAGGTTTATTGGAGGGCTATTTAATGCTTACACATATACACATGCATATATGTTGGTGTATACCAGGCATTTTGCTTGACTCCATGTCATTGTGCTACATGTTGCTTGGGGCCAGAATGGGGTGTGATGCTGTACTGCTCGTGGCATCCATGCTCAGTGTCATCAGTAACAGTTACTCCTCTGTCGGAGATATACAATCAGATAATTTCCTAGTGATCTCAACTCTCTGCAGTTATGAATAGTGTCACATTGGTCTTCATCTCAGACTTCGAGTTTGAGTAGCACGATATGAGGGTGGGAAGGAGGAGAGATAATGCTTGTCAAATAGGATAAAGACATTTTGAAATCCAGGGGATCCCACAGGATAATCTGTGTGGAACTCAAATGAAGCTCTTTTGAAATTCATCTCCCTGAGCTTCCCCCAGGATGAGTGCTATGGAGTCCATCAAATTTCTCTGTAACAATCCCTAAATACTTAGCATCCTGGGTCACACATGGTTTCATAACACAAGAAACCATCGTTTCCTAGGGATTTTTTTTTTTTTTAAAGAAGTGAGACATTATTTCTACCAAGTAGGCGCTGTTGGAGAAAGCAGCTAGTCTTGACGAACTGATGTATGATGGAATGCAGAGCACATCAGTTAGTGTTTCAAAAGATGAAGAGTAAGGCTTTTGAATGATGCTTATCCTGAGAATTAGAGTGTTTTATTGCTTCTAAGAACACTGGCAATCACTGAGTATCTTACTAGACTAACTCTTTATTAGACTATGTGTCAAAAGTGAGGAATGGTGAGAGGGCCCGGTGAGTGAGATCACGTGCTCATGCAGGCATGAGGACTTGTTCAAATCTCTACACCCATGTAAGAAAGCCATGCTTGCTTGTAATCTCTACATTATAGGAGTTGAGGACAGAGGGTTGCTAGAGCTTACTGGCACCCAACCTAGTTCCACATTCAGCTAGACACCCTGTCTCCAGGAAGTAAGTCCGAGAGTGGTAGAACAGAGTACATGGTATCCTCTTTGACCTCTGCAAGCAACACACACACACACACACACACACACACACACACACACACACACACACACACGGTTATACTACTGCACCTAAAATTTCAAAAATCCTACCTTTATCTGTATTTTGTCCCTACCAAATTTCTTAAAACATCTCTCTGGCCGGGCGGTAGTGGCGCACGCCTTTAATCCCAGCACTCAGGAGGCAGAACAAGGCAGATCTCTGTGAGTTCGAGGCCAACCTGGTCTACAGAGTGAGATCCAGGAAAGGTGCGAAGCTACACAGAGAAACCCTGTCTCGAAAAACCAAAACAAACAAACAAACAAACAAACAAACAAAAAACCCTCTGTCCTTCTAGAGAAATCTTTAGAAGGCATAATTGTTTTAATTTCTTGAAGTGTTTTGATGTTTATAAAGGTGAATTTCATATTATTTCTGAAAGCTGCACATTATCATCATGTTGAGAAGGAAACACTAGAATTAAATGCTTCAGTTTGCAGTGGTCAGCCCCTTCTCCCGAAGTGAATCTCGGCATCCTGAAGGCCAGGAGGAGAGCTGTGGACAGGTGGTTGGACTTTTTGTTATTTAAAGAACAAGCAGCTTGAAATCAGGCTGGGTCTGTGATAGTCCTGACACGAGCAGCATCCAAGAGATGGCTCTTTTGTGGGAATTAGGAGAAGATGCCAGGTCGTGGGAGTTGTATGAAGGGCCTCATGTGTTGAGTGTGTGCTGTACCACTGAGCCACATTTCTTGTCCTAGTATTTATTTTTAATTGGTGGTAAATTCAATAAAAGCTTGAAAAGGAGTTTCATATCTTTCCATTAGAGCTTTTAAAGTTTATATTATATTAATAAAACTTTTTAGGGCCATCTGCGTAGCAAAAATATAATGCCTTTTATTATATAACTTTAAAAATGAAACCTGGTACTATGCTACTTTTAGGAAAGGTGATATGATTTTGTTTTTTAAGATTATCTTCAAGTCTATTATTGATTATGTGCGTGTTTATGCTCTTCAAAACTTCAGCCGAGATGTTTCCACCATTCCTGTTGGATTTCTCTAAGTTGAGACAACTCTTTCTCAAGTGCAAGTTGACAGTACTAATTAAAATCTTAAATATTTTATACTTTTACAGGGAATAAAACAAATGAGCAGAGACACATATACAAAAGTAATGACTAGGGCAGCATTTCAGCTGTGAAAATTGTCCATGTAAATGCCACATGCATATGGTTAAGTGAATATTAACATATAAGTGTTTTATAGTCATGGTGGAAAGAGAAAACTCTTAGAAAAGCATCCAAGTTGTAGGGTCAAAAAGTTTTAAAACAGGGCAGGGTCTATAGCTTAGTTGATAGAATGCTTGCCTAGTATGCATAGAGCCCTGGGTTCGATCCCCCACACTGCTTAAGCCTGTCAAATGCCTATAATCTCAGTACTTAAGAACTAGGTCATCCTTGGTTTTGTAGTGAGTTCCAGGCCCGGTCTCAAAAATAAAAAAATTTCAGAAACAAAAGCAAGGCATTCTAATGTGCATGATGTGATGCCATGTGAGAATTGATTCCATTGCTGAAGCGCTTACAGATAAAAAATGAAAGGAACTTAGCTCATAAGAGTTTTTCTCGAATTTGTTGAAACTGTTTAGAATAAAAGGATGCTTGGTGAAGAAGTGACCAGGGAATGCACTCCCTCCACCCCACTTGCCTCTGATTGGTCCTGACAAGTGATGTCATATCCTCCCAGGGAAAGGAGCACCTTAATCTAAGTACTACAGAGGTTCAAGGGGGTCACAGGAGCATTTTGTAAGTTGGGGCCAAGGCATCTGGATATAAGGGGGCTATGCTGCAGGAGGCTGCATTCGATTTTCAATTCATATGCTTTGTAGTGTTTTTTTAGTCATTATTATTATTATTGCTGAAGTTTGAGCCCAGGACCTTACACCTGCTAAGCATGGAGCAGGTCCTCTATGACTGTTCTGTACCTTGGCTCTTGCTTTTTTTCTTTTTCTGTTTTGGCACTGAGGATTGAACTCTTCATGCTAGGCAAGTACTCTACCATTGAGCACCAAGGCACCCTCCTCCTACTTTTTTTTTTTTTAAAGCAATGGTCATAGTTAGCTGCCCACACTAGCCTCAAAATCAAATCTGTATCCTCCTGTCTCAGCCTCCTCAGAGTTCAGATTACAGGCCTGTGCCATCAGTCCCAGTGACTGCATTATTTTAAATGAACAAATATTATGTTTATAAATAGAGAGTACAAGATGGAATAAAATACAGAAAATTTATGAATATATACAACATCTATATACTGTAAGAAAAATCTCTTCTTTGATTGTCAAACCTGGCTTTCTGCCATTGTCATCGGAGAAGAGCCGATGTAATAATGTATGCACTCTTTTTTTTTTTTTTTTTTGGTTTTTCGAGACAGGGTTTCTTTGTGTAGCTTTGCGCCTTTTCCTGGAACTCACT